TCTTGTGGTGTATTATTGAGATGGCCGACATTCATTGCATGGCTCAATGTGCACTGCAATAGGTGCATATGGCAATCCCACGAAGACAGAAAACATATCTTGACAACAAAATGCAATGGTTTCTACAATATCACCCAGGGACATGTGAACATTGGGGTGTGAAATGAGGCATTGCATGGCACCATTGCATGTTGAAGTTTTTTCTTAGAGTGTGATGTATGGAGGGCAACGATGAAGCCAAAAGTCTTCATCGCCACTTGGTGCAATTTAAGGCAACGCTGACATCAGAAGATCATACCAGCGTAATTTCCAATGTAGAGAATTTGGTGGCTTCTCTAGAAGCTCATTTTGATGTGCGAGAAGAACCGGCCCATTCCAGAACCCGACAGGTGAAGAAAAAAACTAGGGCTCAATTGGAGAGCTCTTTGAAATACAACAAGAAAAAGTTGAGCAGATTGTTGAAAGAAAAGCAGGACATAAAGGGAACAAAAGACAAGTATGGTATGCTCTCCCGCTCTGCGATATTACAGGTGATGCTGGCAGATCCAACGCTACCTTCGAGAAATTTGGCAACTTTGCTCAATGAACATGCACTGGGCGGGGAGCAAGTAATCAGCCACCCGAAGGTTGGTAACATCCGGGATGCCTTTGTGGAGCAAATCAAAGAACTATCTGCCAAGCAACTACAGTACTCCTTTAGTCGAGCATGCGCTGAAAAGAAAAGTTTGTCTATTGTAATTTCCCATGTCCACGATGGAGCCGACATGAGAATGCGCAGCTATACCGCTACGCTGGAGAGTTCCGAAGACTGCATTCTGCCTCGAAATGCTCCCAAGTTGTCACGGCAGAAGCATTCAAAAATTCAAAACCATTCGGTTCAAATCCATGGTTTGGACACAGAAGCTTTGCCATGGTATGTAGAGTTGCAGCCGCTCAAAAACAAAACCAAAGAGGTTGTGGCAACTTCAATCATTGTAGCTCTGAACGGGGTATTGGCTGCCTTGCTGAGTCCCGAAGATGTGCGCGACGAATTGCCCACAGTGGTACATGTGCTGACGGGAGACTCTATCAATACCAACGAGGCAGCTTGTCGCATTGTTCTTCACTATTTCAGGGAAATCTCTTCCTTTCGGAGATGCATGACTTACCGGCTCATTATGTGGAGGTGTGCAGCACACAAAGCAGCCCTTGTTACAGTCACAGCTATTTGTGGCCGTCAGATGGTCAATCCCGTTGACGGTAATGAACTTTGCGCGTCTGTATCCAGATTTTTCCGACACTTACTTCCAGACTACACAGAAGAGTTTGCTGCCTTGTTGCGACAATGGGTCATTGCCAACACATCTGGCATTTCTCTGATCCAAGGTCCCATTCCAAGTGCAGAAGCTCGGGTGGACAGGGGGTTGCTACAGCTCTATGGGCTCGAAGTCATTCCAAACACTGTCCGGTCGTTGCTTAACATCGATATTTGTCAGCTTCTCCACCAAGAGCCACAGCCAAAAAGCTTGGAAACCTTCCGTGGCCTTATTTTTACTTTGTTGTACAGACTACTCCTTCAGCCCGAAGACAAGCCTGTCATATCCCGGTTTTGGTTGTTCGGCTTTTGCGCAAACAAGTTGTTGCTATGTCAGCTCCTGAAAATCCCTGCGCAAATTTTCCGGACACAGACGATACACATGCAAGAAGAGAATGCAAAACGGGCAGTTGCTTTCCGATCTTGGTATGACGACGAGGTGCAGCAGAGAGATTTGAGGCGTGCTTGCTTGTGCCTTCGCCTCACAGGTCTTGCAACCAGTCTGACTGCAAAACGTTCTGGAACAACGAAGGCTTCCTTGGATGAAGTGCCCACCCTGGTCAAGCTAGCTAAGGGAGTTGTGCAGCAGCGCACACTTGCTGAACTCTTGGATATAGCAGATTGGCTGCACGCAGACACATTGGTGGACCAAACTTCTTGTTTTGCATCTCTGTTCGTCACGGAAATTCACATCTTACTACGCTTCAGTGAGTACCAAGAGTTCCCTGCCAAATTGTGCCTTCTGTCCCGACGGTTCAACCCAGACACGTTCATGTTGGAGATCGAGCATTTCTTGGATGTTCCGGAAGCGTCTCTCGACTGGGGATATTCCAGACTCTTGCAAAGGAACGCACTACGACAGGGAGCCACGGTAGCAGCAATTTCGTACCTTCTTTCCGATAAAGTGCAAAACGAACTTGCAGAGATTTTTGGGAAGACACATGCTACAAGCCTGACAGTAGAGAGAAAGAATTACCAGGACCGTCGGAGTTGCCAGCGTGACAAAGTCATGTCTTGCGCCAGAGCGTCTAGAAACAGCATGTTGATTTCTTTCCGTACATGGCGGTTGCAGAAGCTTCAACAACGACGTGCAATTCAGAAGGCTAGCCGAAAAATGCTGTTCATGAACGCTCAGGCACTTGGAGTGATGAGGAATGCAAACGCATTCCCCCGAGCTCGCGGTCAACTCCGCCACCAGCCCAAGATGAAGGCCAACAAGCGTCGAGAAATTGTGCACCCAGGTGACCCAAACAAACTTCGAGGTTACATACGGGACAACGAGCCAGCCTTGAAAGCCGAGGCTGCTGGTTTGCGCAAAGTTGCACGAACGTGTTTGCAAGAACTGGCTCATAGCTTGCCTGTTACCAACGAAGAGTGGGGAGCATGGCTACAGAAAGAAGAGAAGAAATTTCGAAATGGCATGAAGATGTACCCGTCGCAGAGAATGAGCCAATGTTGCCGTAGGTTGGAGCCTTTGCCTGGTTTAGGGGAATGCCCACGCATCCGCCCATATCAGCCTGCGTTGCCTCCATGGGCGCTCAAAGTCAAGAGCGCAAAATCCGGGCCTTTCTTTCTCCTGAAAGGTTGCGCGGCCCGGGCCGTAGTCGTTGCTGCCGGTGTTGGTTCGTTATGTTGGGCCTTTGTTTTGCAAAAGTTGGAAGATGACCCGACAGTCTTTGTTGCTTCGCTGCCAACATGTTTTGACAAGTGCAAAGACATTGTATCTTTAGCAAAGGACCTCCGCATTTGGCAGGGTCCTGGACAGGAAGATCCTGAAGTCTTCTCCTTGCAGGTTGCTTTTTCGAAGTGCGAAGACCGCTGCGTTTCTTTCCAAGTGCTTGGCGCGGACCTTGTTCCCGCGCCATCTCGTAGCGCGCCTGCAGAGGATGAGGTGGCTGGTGACATTGATTTGGATGATTTGGACAGTTTGGCCAGCGTGGCCTCTGAAAAATTTGAATCCGACACTGATAGCGACGCTTCAGCGGCAGAAGCTGAAGCGCAACTGGATGTGGATGTAATTAAGGAGAAGGCCAAGTCTGGCACTCACATTGTTTGGAGTTGTTCCTATTTCTCTTTGGCCAGATACCAAAACAAGACAGACGCAAAGATGATCATGAAAGATAAATGGGCAATCCCTGCAGAGCTTGGAATTCAGGAAAAAAGCAAGACGCTGCAAGTTGCCAACTTCGATGAATCAGTGCATGGGGATGCCACCCAGACATTCATAGCTCTGAAAGCATGGATGCTACACCGCTGTCAACGCAACAATTGGCATCTGCGCAATGACTTGCGCGTAAATTGGTTTCGTAAACAGGAAGCAGACCTAAAGCATGAATGTGCCCGCGTGACACTATCGGCAAACACAGAGAAGGTTGTCACAAAGTGGATGCCTTCTGTACTGCTGTGAAGGGAAGCATGGAGAAGCATACCACGTTGGGAAAAATGACAGCAAGCATTCGAGATGCTTTCATTTCTTTTTGATGAAAGACGTGTTGCAATCAGAGGCAAACGGAAGAGTAGTGCACAGAAAGGGTTTTGCAAAAACCTATTCTACTAACATCGTGGAAGGCACGGGACATTCGTAGAACCCAAGGCTATTCGTGGCCGGTTCGTGGACTGGTGGGCCAGTAGGAGAACTGACTGCAACGAAATCCCAGAAACCTTCGCAGAACTTCGTGGAAGGTATTTTTGATGCACTAACTTGGTATAAGCGATTTTTGCTGACCCCCTTTCTCCACACACCCTCCATTGTTGCTTCCTGTAAATGCCCTTTTCTGGACAATGGCGGGAGTTCCCGGTCCGGTGGGTGGCTTTGCCACACACTGGACCGGGGAAGCTGGCAGGGCCCCCCGTCCAAAACCAAAAACGGAAGTTCCCGGCAGTGAGTTAGGAGCAAACCCTTGTCGTGGCTGCGAAAGCATTTCCTCACGCTGTTCATCACTATAGTTTACACTATTCGACACTATTCGACACTATTCAACACTATTCGACACTATTCGACACTATTTGACACTATTCGACACTAAATTACACTATTGAACACTATTTGACATATTTTTACACTATCGAGCACTTTCGTGCACGCTCGGCACGATTTCTCTTTCGAGTTGCGTTGTATTGATGCCTGGTTTCCTTGTGCGGGGGCGGGTTTGTCAGGGCAGTCGTGGAGCTTTTCACGCATGGAAGTACTGTGCAGTTCCCGAAACACACACACATATCTATATATATAGATATTTACCAGGCTACCGCCTGCAGCCGCCGACCCCAAGGGAAAATGTAGTGGCAGGGTTCGTCACTGCAACAAGGGTCCTTTGGGGTAGGGGAGGTAAGGTCTAGGTCTAAGGCTAAGGACTAGGTCTAAGGCTAAGGATAAGGCTAAGGCTTAAGTCTAAGGCTAAGGCTAAGGCTTAAGGCTAAGGCTTAAGGCTAAGGCTAACATCGACAGTCACGCCTCACCCCACGGTGTGGGGTCGGCGGATTTTTACACATGTATATAGATATATAAAGATGGATGGATAGATACATAGATAGATAGATACATACATAGAATTTATATATCTATACGTCTATATTATAATATATATTTTTTGCGATTTA